TCCTTTCCCGGTGATTCATCACAATATATTCTTTCCTGGGAGAGAAAAAATCTCGCGGCGAAGTAAATTGCTCCCCAATTTTCCAGGGTGAGGAGGCTTATTTGCCATTCATCAACCTTGGTAAACAGCGAGTCCTCAGAGACAGGAGTCTGCAGGCAGGCAGGGAGGTGCTCTCTGTTTCAGATCAAGGAATTGTTCTCCCGTATTGTTTATGTTTATGCGGAAAATAAGTGCTCTCACCAGCATGCGCTTAGAAAATCAAACTCATTTATTCTTAAAGGAACAGACAAACCCTAAGTCATAAGCAGTGTAACAAGTACAAATTAACTATAACTCTCGTAGACTTAAAAATACACTCAGACTCTTAACACGCACAATAAAATCCAAAATAAGCACTCTAACACGTAAACACACAGGAAAAAACTAACTAACACAAACTCAGTCTAGCACAAACTTATGCACACATATACACACTCGTGTGCACTCTTACACTTGCCCACACACAAACTCTTCTCCTGTTTGTTTCTTGTTCTCTGCCAGACTAAGGGATGAAATACGCCTCTTAATTAGCGCAGTGCAGGTAAGTACAGAAACTAATACATTTAATGGACGAGGCTTATGTGAGAGGTCAAACTTTAAACAGCCAGAATCGTGGTTGTTTAAGATTGTGCAGGAACGACTGTATATACATCGACAACAGCAGTAACAGCCTCCTGAGTTCTGCAGTATAAGCAGAGTTGCATGTTAGAACAAAGAAATACCACCTCAGGCGTTGTGTGGTTGCAGAATAAGGAAAATTGATTGTAGCACAAAGTACCATCACATTAATGTTATGTAATACCGATAAGTTGACGAATAAGACACCATGTAATTCTGGTACCGTGGATTTCTACATTTCTATTATCAACCCCTGGCTCAACATATATGCATGACCTACTTCCACTAGAGGGCCCTACCCACCGATGATGCTGTCTTCAATTCCTTCATCTCTTTTTTGGCTCCAGTAAATTAGTCTCCATCCCATGTCTCTGCTTTAAACAAAGACCAGGGGAAAGAACGCCTATGAAAGCTATGGGACCGATGACCTCTCACTGTTAAGGAAGCGAATATACACTCTATTGCTTCCAGTCTAATAGTCGTCTGCATAAGACTGAAAAATCCTGCTGTGCGAGCGAAACGTCTTTTCACTAAAGATACCAAGGTGCTGAACATGTCTTATTCACCAAAGTAACACCATCTCTGTCGCTGTGCGGTTTCAGTATGATCAGGACTGTACTGTGGAGTGCAGCGTGCAGCAAGGTACAATTTCTAAAGAGGCTTTAGAGAAAGAACTTACGTTTTTTCCTCATGGTCGTTTTGAGTATATTTTATTTTACCAACCGATCGTCTACTAAGAATTGGATTGAAAAATTACAAAACATATTTAAAGATATATTTTTTCTGTATTAAAATCTTCAAAAAATTCATTGAGCTTCCCAGAAATATGTGCATAAGATGCAACAAAAATTGTCTTCCTGGAGCACAACAGTGAGGAGCTGGAATTAAAAACAATAGTGACTTTTCTGGTAAATTTTGTTACATTAAAAAGCTCTTTTTGAATGTCACCAATATGAAGAGCTTGAAAACCAAGGCGAGTGTCCACAGAAGAATTACGAACAGCCAAAAGTTAAGTCTCGGCGTGAGAAGCTCTCACTGCCTGTTAAGGCGATATTCTCTGTTAAAGGGCTACACAAGTGAAAATACTTGTGGCCTTTAATGGAAGCTGGTGCAGTTTAAAAGTATACTTACAGCAAAAGGAAACCTTTTATCATTTATGATGTTTCACTAACGAGAGGTTCTAAAATCACAATAACAAAAGGTCTTTCGCAGCATTAAGCGTTTTTTAACAACTTCTTGACTCACAACTATACTCAAGCCACAAAGTTGGTTTGTTTGGAAAAAGTATATTAGTATCCCAAAGTCTGGCTTCTTCGACGAACTTAGAATCACAAATTCAGACTTAGTCTTGGGATGCTCTGGGATAACTTAGTCCACTAATTTGTAACCTACATCACAACAACGACAGAAATGCAGGAAATGTCATCTGAAGTATGTTGCAGGCAGCTATTCACAGAAGTCCAACTAGAAGCATGGCTGATATTACTGGGAGTGTTCTAGGACAAGACAGGGTAATTTCTATTGGATATCGATTGCAGGAGTTCTCCTAGCCTCGACCTGTCAAATGAAGATATACACACACTTAAGGAAATAGGTTACCCAGGTCAGGTTATTTGCTAGATACTACAGTGTCCAGAATGTCCAGATTACCTAGTGTCTGCTTCATTCTCGCCAGGCCATTCAATTTATACTCCAGAACTGAGTCTCTCAATCTGTTATTTGGCACTAAAGGCGCTCCGAACAGGATGTTATTAGAGGGGACAATGATATATATATATATATATATATATATATATATATATATATATATATATATATATATATATATATATATATATATATATATATATAAATATATATATATATAATATATATATATATATATATATATATATAAATATATATATATATATATATATATATATATATATATATATATATATATATATATATATATATATATATAGATAGATAGATAGATAAATAGATATAGATATATGAGTAATGCTGCTAAGAATATCCTCTATGAAGGACGTGAATTTACAATGTACATTAAAGCTTGGGATTCTTCTCTGTTGATAATCAGATAAAGGAGTCAAGTGTTACAACAGTAAACAAAGTTTTGAAAGGAAACACTGCTCATATTCCCTTCACAGGACCATTCATCTTCACTACTCATGTTCAGCACTCGTCTCTATGCATCATAATTCATTTTCCTTCATCCATGTACATCAGAGTTCTTCACTACCATTCATTTTCACCACAGTTGTGCACCTTGCCCTCACTTCACTCTTCATCTTCACTATATTGCGGCTCAACATAGGTCATGTGAGGCGGCTACCAACAGCCTAACTGGTCGAGATTAACGGACGGAGGACAAAGCCTCCACCATTCCTTCACACATTACATTAGATTTCATGTTATATGTTTTTCTCTGTTTTTAGAAAAAAAATATGAAATGTTAAAAAACATTATAAATAAAATACGAACTGAAGAGGGACGTTCCTCATCATCATTATAATAATAATAATAATAATAATAATAATAATAATAATAATAATAATATAATAATAATAATAATAATAATAATAATAATATTATTATTATTTTTTTTATTATCACACTGGCCGATTCCCACCAAGGCAGGGTGGCCCGAAAAAGAAAAACTTTCACCATCATTCACTCCATCACTGTCTTGCCAGAAGGGTGCTTTACACTACAGTTTTTAAACTGCAACATTAACACCCCTCCTTCAGAGTGCAGGCACTGTACTTCCCATCTCCAGGACTCAAGTCCGGCCTGCCGGTTTCCCTGAACCCCTTCATAAATGTTACTTTGCTCACACTCCAACAGCACGTCAAGTATTAAAAACCATTTGTCTCCATTCACTCCTATCAAACACGCTCACGCACGCCTGCTGGAAGTCCAAGCCCCTCGCACACAAAACCTCCTTTACCCCCTCCCTCCAACCTTTCCTAGGCCGACCCCTACCCCGCCTTCCTTCCACTACAGACTGATACACTCTTGAAGTCATTCTGTTTCGCTCCATTCTCTTTACATGTCCGAACCACCTCAACAACCTTTCCTCAGCCCTCTGGACAACAGTTTTGGTAATCCCGCACCTCCTCCTAACTTCCAAACTACGAATTCTCTGCATTATATTCACACCACACATTGCCCTCAGACATGACATCTCCACTGCCTCCAGCCTTCTCCTCGCTGCAACATTCATCACCCATGCTTCACACCCATATAAGAGTGTTGGTAAAACTATACTCTCATACATTCCCCTCTTTGCCTCCAAGGACAAAGTTCTTTGTCTCCACAGACTCCTAAGTGCACCACTCACCCTTTTCCCCTCATCAATTCTATGATTCACCTCATCCTTCATAGACCCATCCGCTGACACGTCCACTCCCAAATATCTGAATACATTCACCTCCTCCATACTCTCTCCCTCCAATCTGATATCCAATCTTTCATCACCTAATATTTTTGTTATCCTCATAACCTTACTCTTTCCTGTATTCACTTTTAATTTTCTTCTTTTGTACACCCTACCAAATTCATCCACCAATCTCTGCAACTTCTCTTCAGAATCTCCCAAGAGCACAGTGTCATCAGCAAAGAGCAACTGTGACAACTCCCACTTTATGTGTGATTCTTTATCTTTTAACTCCACGCCTCTTGTCAAGACCCTCGCATATACTTCTCTTACAACCCCATCCATAAATATATTAAACAACCACGGTGACATCACACATCCTTGTCTAAGACCTACTTTTACTGGGAAATAATTTCCCTCTTTCCTATGTACTCTAACTTGAGCCTCACTATCCTCGTAAAAACTCTTCACTGCTTTCAGTAACCTACCTCCTACACCATACACCTGCAACATCTGCCACATTGCCCCCCTATCCACCCTGTCATACGCCTTTTCCAAATCCATAAATGCCACAAAGACCTCTTTAGCCTTATCTAAATACTGTTCACTTATATGTTTCACTGTAAACACCTGGTCCACACACCCCCTACCTTTCCTAAAGCCTCCTTGTTCATCTGCTAACCTGTTCTCCGTCTTACTCTTAATTCTTTCAATAATAACTCTGCCATACACTTTACCAGGTATACTCAACAGACTTATCCCCCTATAATTTATTATTATTATTATTATTATTATTATTATTATTATTATTATTATTATTATTATTATTATTATTATTATTATTATTATTATTATTATTATTATTTTATAGGAAGTGTAAGCAAGGATGTGGAGGATAGCTCCAAGTCCTTGGATCAAGAGCTCTTCAGCGGCAGCAAGGGAACACTAGTGAATTTACCGAATTGTTGCCAAGGTTGTGGACAACACAGGAGAGAAGTGCCGTCTTGGAGGCCGTGACGGTGACATTGGTTGGTACCAGCGGGTCGAAGACCGGGGGCAGCGTGGGTCCTGGCACTGTTGGCGGGGGCACCACGTGGCGGGGAGACCGAGGCCATGCCCACACACACCCTGTAAAGGGAGAGAGTGAGAGAGAGATAGAGATAGAGAGAAGCAACATAGAGTGGTTTTAATAAGCTAATGTCTGAGAATGCTACACAGCATGGGGTTGCTTATGGCTGGTAGTTTATAAGGTACTCTATATGATGTGTTTATATAAACACCAGTGGTTTAATTTATTCTATATGGTGTTTATATAAACACCAATGGTTTAATTTAGGTAGAAGTAAAAAAAAATATTTTTTATCTTACTTCTACCTAATACTGAGATCTACAGTTTTCAACTGTAGCAGAAGTAGATGGTAGTTTGTATGGTAACCCACTGGTCATTCTACTGGTTCTGTACAACACCGGTAAGTTGAGGAATGTGACACAGGTGCAGACGTTTGGATATCTTTATTGTCGTAGGCGAAAGAGTTCGGTAATGAAGATATCTAAATGTTGCACGTGATCCACTGACACTTTTCCTGGGAGGATTTTTATTATGCGTACGCCAGCGGTTGCTTAGCAACTGAGCAGATTGTGATAACAGATGATGGGGGAATAACGAAAAGTTGCAGTTGAGAGACACTCCAAGTCTATCATATCTGAGAAAAACGTGCAAACGAAATGTCATTTGAAAATACTTTCCAAATGGTGCGCATATGTGTGTGTATGTGTGTGTGTGTGTGTGTGTGTGTGTGTGTGTGTGTGTGTGTGTGTGGTGTGTGTGTGTGTATGTGTGTGTGTGTGTGTGTGTGTGTGTGTGTGTGGTGTGTGTGTGTGTGTGTGTGTGTGTGTGTGTGTGTGTGTGTGTGTGTGTGTGTGTGGTGTGTGTGTGTGTGTGTGTGTCGAACTTATTTATTCACATTCATGTCAGACACAGCAACATCTTGGAATGTTGATGCAGGGAAATTCTACGTCAGGAGACATGTTTTCTGATAAGAAAAATAACACCAACATCCTGCAGGTACATCACCATCAGCTTTTCCCATGAAGAAGAAGCCATAGTATTGTGGCTGCAGGTACATCACCATCAGCTTTTCCCATGAAGAATAAGCCATAGTATTGTGGCTGCAGGTACATCATCATCAGCTTCTCCCATGAAGAAGAAGCCATAGTATTGTGGCTGGCAGGTACATCACCATCAGCTTTTCCCATGAAGAATAAGCCATAGTATTGTGGCTGCAGGTACATCACCATCAGCTTTTCCCATGAAGAAGAAGCCATAGTATTGTGGCTGCAGGTACATCACCATCAGCTTTTCCCATGAAGAATAAGCCATAGTATTGTGGCTGCAGGTACATCATCATCAGCTTCTCCCATGAAGAAGAAGCCACAGTATTGTGGCTGCAGGTACATCACCATCAGCTTTTCCCATGAAGAATAAGCCATAGTATTGTGGCTGCAGGTACATCACCATCAGCTTTTCCATGAAGAATAAGCCATAGTATTGTGGCTGCAGGTACATCACCATCAGCTTTTCCCATGAAGAAGAAGCCATAGTATTGTGGCTGCAGGTACATCACCATCAGCTTTTCCCATGAAGAATAAGCCATAGTATTGTGGCTACAGGTACATCACCATCAGCTTTTCCCATGAAGAATAAGCCATAGTATTGTGGCTGCAGGTACATCATCATCAGCTTCTCCCATGAAGAATAAGCCATAGTATTGTGGCTGCAGGTACATCACCATCAGCTTTCCCCATAAAGAATAAGCCACTGCACTGTGCCTACAACAATTAACAAACCCACAAATTGGAAATGAGAGACCTGAACGACGTTTCGGTTCATATAAGATTATTATTAAGTCTCCTGCAGTTGCTTCGCCTTATGTTATTAGGCTGAGGTGAAATCTAATGTCATTGATAATGCCCGAAATGCTGTGCATCCTGTGGTATTTCTGATTATTGTATAAAGAGTAAAAAAAAATCAAAATACCGTGACTAGAACAATCCACAAATAACCCGCACATAGGATAGTGAAATTTATTACAACGTTTCGATCTGACTTGCACCATTAACTAGTCACACAGTGTGACAAGTTAATGGTCCATTTTGCTCCAAAACGTCGTCATAAGGTTCAGTGTCCTATGTGCGGGATATTTGTGGTTATTGTATATTTTGTACATGCAGTGGTTGGAAATAATCTTAGATTGAATTTACAAAATATTTGTCCATGAACAACATCTGTTTACACCAAGTGAAATTAAGTAATTATTGCTGAGTAAGCGCATGACAGGTTACTAGGATGTCACTGAACATTAAGACCAGAGTACTAGCACTCTGCCGCTAGTGTCGAGTACCAACTCATAAGCACTGTTTCTAGCTTGCTTATGTACCAGTTTTACTAAGCACTAGCGCTCAAAAGAACTTCTTTCATGGATCAATACCAGAGCACCAGCGCTTAAACATTAACTTCAAACGCCATAAACAACTGAACACATGCACTTCAGCTCTGATATTTTACTGAGTACCAGCACCAATAACTTCACCTCCATGGGTCACCATTATGCATAAAAAATTAGGTACATATTGAAAATTGACCGTTGTAAAAGGCTTCCATTTTCCGTGTGTTAAAGCTGGGAACCATTGGCCTTAATGTTCCGTCCCCTGATCATATTCTACGTACTTTAATCCTTGGCACTTAGCCATGAGTGACAGTCCTGGCGAGGTGACTTATTGCACCTACTCACGATCGAGGCACTTCCTCAGAGTGCCTTCCCGGCGCTCATTATTTTTAACCACGCTGGGGGCCGACCCTTCCCTGTACTGCTGCTGCTACATGATGGGGACCACACTCAGTCAAGACCCTCCATTCGGTAGCTTGATGGGGAACACAATCAGTCAAGACCCTCCATTTTGCAGCTTTACATGGATCACAATCAGTCATGACCTTCCATTCTGTAACTTGACATGGACCACAATCATTGAAGCCCCTCTATTCTGCAGCTTGGCATAGGCCACAATCAGTCAAGACCCTCCGTTCATCCGTTTCTAAGTCTTTGTTAATTAGTGTTTTTCTATAATTTTCACGTTTTTTCACGGTGTGGCTTTCAAATATAATTTTATCAATAAGGAAGTAATGTCATGTACTATATGATTAACTTACAATTTGTGCAACAGCGGAGAGGGACACAGTGGGAATATCCTGTAACTACAAGTAAATACACACACACACAGGGGGTCAACAAGGAAGTATTTCTTAACTCACAGAGTTGTCAGGAAGTGGAGCAATCTGGAGAGTGATGTAGTGGAGGCAGGACCCATATATAGCTTTAAGAAGAGATATGATAAAGCTCTTGGAGCAGGGAGAGAGTGGACATAGGAGCTACCAGTTGACCCTTGCAACCACAAATAGGTGAGTACAAATAGGTGAGTACACACAAACACACACACACACACACACACACACACACACACACACACACACACACACACACACACACACACACACACACACACACACACACATACACACAGTGAATGCAAAGTGTCCTCCAGTGTGTTGCTTTTCTGCTGGATGGCAGAAGATAACTCCTCGTTAGTGTGGACACACATCTTAATTTCCTTTCTCGTGCTATCTCTTCTCCCACCTACAATTTGTTGTCTTTCTATTTTCCTCCCTCTCACCTACCACCTCTTTCCTTCCCTCATTCTCTTTCACCTCTCTCCTCTCATATTCATTTATTTATTCCGTTTCCTTTCTTCCTCAAGTTCCCTCACTATCAAGTGCTTTCTAATTTTTTTCACTTTTTACCGTCGTGCTGCCTTCTTCCTTTCCTACCTGCCTCGCTTCTCCCTCCCTCTCTCTTTTCCCTCCCTCCTTTCTTTGCTCCCTCTCTCCTCCCTTCATTTCACTTTTCCTCGCTCCCTCTCTTTTTCATTCATCCCTCCCTCGTTCCTCCCTCTGGAGGCTGTTCGACGGCCAAATGACTTCTCCATCAGGTCGCTCGTTGAAACATGTAATAAAGTGTTGCTGGCTGCGCTCTTCTAGCAGACCAGAGAGATATAAAGACATCTCCCGGCCCTGTATGACCTGAAACACATGAGGCTGATGCTTCTTTTCCAGCAGGCCAGAGCGATATAGACATCTTCCAGTCATGCATGACCTGGGGCACATGAAGTCGAGGCTTCTTTTCCAGCAGCCCAGAGCGATATATAGACATCCAGTCCTGTATGACCTGGAACACATGAAGTTGATGCCTCAGTTTCCAGCATGACAAAGCGATATCAAGACATCCCCCGGCACTGGAAAACCTGGTACACTTGATGCTGATGTATTTTTTTTTTCTGGATGTCAAAGCGATATTAAGGCATCTCCAAGCTTCGGGAAGAACTGGTACATAAGATAATGATCTGATAACCCAGGTGGCTAGAGTAATATAAAGTCAGGTGTTGGCGTAACATTTGGAACAGGAGATGCTGACGTGTTAAAGCAAATCACACACCTATCTAAGAAGTACAGGAGGACAAGATATGACGTTTCCAGACCAGAGAGACAAGGAAATAAGAATGGAGCAACACTGCAACAAGCTTACTGGCCCATTCCTTGCCAGGTCCTTCTCACATCCAGTTTATAGCCCACAAATATTTGTCCAACCACTGCTGGAAAGTCTCAAGCAACTCACAAAACACGACCACGGTAGAAAACTTCACAACACACAACTACCGTACATTGTCTTTAGAGACAAGTACCAAAGATCATTACCAGTAATGATCGTAAGCCGACAGACAGAACGACACTGTTTGTCAATCTAGACATTTCATGGATGAAACATCACAATAAAGGATTCACTCCAAATATAGCGTCTCTCTCGCCCCCAGTAACGACAAATTATCTCGACATTCAACCACCATAGACCACGACCATTAACAACACTTCCAGCAACGAGCAGCGACTTATCAATATTATCTTACCAAAGGTGTCACACACACATGTTTTCAAAACATTACTTTAAACAGGTCAGTAGAGACGATAGAGGGAAATGAGATGAAATACAGACACGATGAAAAAAGAGATGCAAATGCAGTATAATGCAATTGTTTATTGATAATGTTTTGCCTATTAAATGGAATTTACTAAGGCCTAAACAGATCTGTTGGCACACTGATAAAGCCCATTGTATGGGTGAAACGTTGGCAATAAAGGATCTAATTACATTGCATTTGTGTGTCTTTTTGTGCCAATAGAGACAGCAAGCGATCAAAGCTGGAGTGGGTTTATGGGGAGGGGAGGTAAGTGGGCTTATGTGAGGATAAGTGGACTTACGTGAGGATGAGTAGGGTTTATCCGAGGGAGAATCGTCGATGTTTGTAGGGGAAGTGGGTTTATGAAGGGATGATAGGGTTGCAAGTACACGTCCATGATCGCGTTGAAAGCACACTATCTATCACTTATGCCTTGGCCAGCGGATGTCCATGATCCCGTTGTAAGCGTCCGTGATCCCGTTGCAACACATGTGAGTGTACTAAGGTTCTGGCAACGCGTCGTCGACTTGTCGGACGTGTTACTAAGTACCCTTGTTTCATCAGATTTTGTAAATCTTATATTTTTAATGATGCTAGAGGAATGAGTGCCAGTGAGAGTGGGGCGAGGGTATTGATTTTGACCTGTGTGTGTGTGTGTGTGTGTGTGTGTGTGTGTGTGTGTGTGTGTGTGTGTGTGTGTGTGTGTGTGTGTGTGTGTGTGTGTGTGTGTGTGTGTGTGTGTATGTGTATGTGTGTGTGTATGTAGTTCTTTTAGTCCTTCATTAAGTAAATATTATAATGACGGAATTACCCAGTCGCGCTCTTCTGTGCTCTAGTTTATCTGTGACTTAAATGAACTTTTAATCTCTATTTTTCTGTCTTGTTGATTCAGTGGCCTGGCCAGAATTTGTCTTCAATGTGATGCCTTCGCTGGAAAACAGGCAGCTAGCACCAATAGACTTACCTACCATTACATTTACCAGGAGGGAAGACGACAGTAACAATGGCCCCCAGAATCATTTAGTTTTCTGGTAATATTGTAGATTCTCTTAATAGCTTCGCCTCAGTGTTGTCGTAGAGTATGTGTGGCAATATATGTTGCAGGTCCTCTTCCTTTTTCTCTTTTTCCTTAGCTTCTGAGTCTACCTCTAACCTCTCTTTACCTATGAATGTCTTCAAGGTTTTACTATTAATTCTGCTACCTCCATCTTCCTCTTCCCCTCTTCTCTGCTTTTCTCCCACATTGTGGCTTGACAATTGTCCAAGACGAACAGAAATATCTCCACTTCCTCTAGCGTGGCTATATTGTTTAACAATTTCTTTTCAGTTAGATAAAGTTTAGGTGGTCGTTGATGTGTCCTCGTCTGATCTCCTCTGTGACTCATCTGGTCACCCTTCAAGGAGCACCTTGATGCCGGATAAGCCCTCGTTTCACCCACTGTGTGGGGGAAACGTAGTCAATAAAGGCTCGCATTACATTGAATCGGTGTTTAATTTATCCAGTGTTGGTATTATATACCTCTTATGTCCACCTCTTGACTCAGGAAACTGAGGATGAACTTTCTTCGGATCAAGTCTGACTGTGGCTCCATTATTTTCATTCCTTCGCGAGGTAACCCTATTCACATCCATGACATTTTTAGGCGATTGCTTTGAAATCCATTTTTTTCCGATTTTTTAAAAATGTTATGTGCTGCGATATATCGATAATACCTAAATGAATCGTTTTTGGATAATACCTTGATATGAGGCGCTTAAATAATACCTAAATTTATCGTATTTGGATAAAGCCTAAATGTGTCGTCTTTGGGTAATCTTAAAAGCAAGGTACTGTAAGGTTTAAAACTTTGTTAATATAACATATCATGAATTTGCTGATGTAGCTTGATTTAAATAATGTTTATCTATTATTATTATTATTATTATTATTATTATTATTATTATTATTATTATTATTATTATTATTATTATTATTATTATTATTATTATTCCCTGCCTTGGTGGGAAACGGCCGATGTGTTAAAATAATAATAATAATAATAATAATAATAATAATAATAAAATAATAATAATAATAATAATAATAATAATAATAATAAATTATTATTATTATTATTATTATTATTATTATTATTATTATTATTATTATTATTATTATTATTATTATCGTTCACGGAAAAGCGATAAATTCGCAAATGCCATACAATGCCTGGATAACGAGAGGTAATCTGGCTTTATCCAAGTGCCAGAGAACCTCTCCTTTCCTGAATCAAGAGCCCTTCACCAGCATCAAGGAAGCCCTATTGAAGGACAAAGAGCGAGTAGAGAGGAGGTGTTGTCATTTCAGTTTTTCACAGACTTGAAATAAGTCTGAAGATGGAATATCCTTCTTTACTTAAACGCGTGCAAAGTTCATTGGGATAAGAGAGAGAGAGAGAGAGAGAGAGAGAGAGAGAGACCGAGCAATTCAAAAATGCTAAGTTTTTGTCTTGATAGTTGATGAACAAGAGACAGGTGCACGGCAGGCTTCTTCAGTCGAAAACAGGAGAATATCACATCGGAGACAGTAGAAGTATTTTTTTAGGTGGTCAGTCCCTCAGCCTCCATAATTCACTCGACATTTAACTCACACCGACCAAAACGTAGTCTAAACTTATTCAGGACGTTTTTCAGTGTTATTGCAGAAAGAAAATATTTCAACACATTTCTCCTGAAGATACTGTCATTCAGCTAAACACTGGAAGAGGAAAAATTTGTGACTAATGTTGTCGTATTCAGGAAGCGTTCATACTCGATCCTGGGGTCGTCCAAACACACAGATCGCTCAGTGAATTCACAAGTCAGGCTCTCTGCGCAAATGAGAGAAATTTGCATAACTCAGCTCGAGAAATCAAGATAGATTCAGATATCTCGCTTTGCCCGTCTGATTAATTGTATAATGTACTCTCCGGGGAGTGTATTGTGTTCATGCAGGAGTGTGAATTCATTATTCGTGTCACTGTCCGTGTGCATGTGTATTTTCAAGGGACGTTGTTATGCGTGGCTGTGTATTCATAACAGCAAATTTATATGTGTGTGTATGTGTATAAATAAATGAATAAACAGTAAGGTGGGTGAGTCTCGAACCGTGGTTTGGGTTCGAGCCTCCGGTCCAACTTCCTGTTTCTTCATCGACAGCTGTTCAAGGACCTGGACAGGCTGCAGGTCAGGTCTGACAGGTGGCTGCTCAGAAAAACTACCGGTAACTGTATGATTAAAGCTATCCTGTGTAGGGTGCGAATTTATGTGAATGAAGTAAGTCAGTACATAATATAACAAAAAATAAGAATTTGACATAAATTAAGAAAGAACTTTATAACAAGATGCTAGAGACGGCATCATGCATGACCAGGTGCTAGCAGATGCACTTTGTGTCATGACCAGCTACTACAGATGACACATTTCATGACTAGCTACTAGAGACAGTATCTGTCATGACCAGCTACTACATGTACTAAGAATACAAAACAGAGGTAAAGTTAGTAAGGACTCACCTGAGAGGCAGAGCACTGTGGTCCACAGCAGAACCAGCGATGGAACCTTAGGGAGATACTGCTGGGTCATCTTGGCTGACACCTGTGGATGAAACAGTCACAGTCACTACAATGACACAGGTGATGATGCTGTGGATGAAACACAGCCACAGTCACTACAATGACACAGGTGATGAACCTTTAGTTAACTTCATAGCTTCTATATATTTCTCTCTTTCCGTCCCTTTTCGTTTCCCTTTCATCCCTCCCTTCTTCCCTCTTTTGGTAATTCACACAAGAATATAAAGATACCCATGGCTAGTGAAGACACTTTCTAATGACACGTGGCCTCTATGTATATCCATGCGTCTCAGGTATTATCATCGGTGTAGTTGTCCAGCCTATGCTTGGAAGTCCCTTCAAGGGTGGCATCATTATGCTGTCAGAAGGCTCTTGATTCATGGAAATGATACACTTAGGAATTCCCCAAACGTGATACTTTTAGGTACTATCCAAATACGATACATTTCGAGGCTGGGGTTATTCCCTACGTTGGATACATATCTCTTAGTACTCAGTGAACGAGACGTTTTAGGTTATCTCTGTACCTGGAAGAGAATTAACGTCCGTTTTGAACTATGACGACAAGAACTGAACATCTTAATCCAAGTGAGGTCTCATAATGGAAAGATTAGATAACAAATGTTAAAACAACCATCAATTACCAACGCTTCTAAATAAGAATCCTAGTGTCAGCTGGCAGATTTTCGCACATATGTGCAGACGGTCACAGTTCGATTAATTTGCAATTTCCACTCGCCGGCTTACACCACTATCAGATAGTCACTTCTTTCGTAATCCCATCTACAAATATCTTAACCAACAATAGTGACATCACACATTACAATAGTGACATCGCCTATTCTTTTGCTGGAAAACAGTTGATATTTGATATCCCTATTTTCTTTCCCCTGCCTTAGATCCTTACAATTGTCTACAAAGAAGTGAATTTAAGTATTTTAATCCATCCTACGAGAGGACCCACATGGAAATAATGAAACAGAACCGATTCTGTCTTCGGTAAATTCAAATGCAGGGTAGAATAAACTGTACCGCGTTGTCAAGTCATGACTTGATCAAGGTCTACACAAAATGAAATATTGTCGTCACACTGCCTTTCAACTACTGATTCCATTTCATTACAGTACTCCATTTCTGTAAGTGGATTCTCTTGCTCCATTAACCACGGATTTCAATCCATGTTAAAACTCTCCCTCAAACATATGCACATATCTTAGAAATGCATTTACAAAGTAGTACAAGGTCAGACATCAGAGGTCGGGAATAATTTGCACGGTACCATGCGACCAATATTTTTTCTGTCCGAGCGTGACTAGCCACGGGTGCACTGGTGATCGTCGATCGATGGTGTCCTCCCTGAGAGGGAAGAGGTAAGCCAAGGCAGGTGTTTGTCGATACTAGGTCAACACGGCGACACCTTGCTGATGACACGCCTCAGGTGTTCTAGCGACTTGACACGGCGTCCAGGTGCATTCCTCCACGTTTTGCCGCCTCCTAGCAGCAAAGTCTTACTGTTCTACCTTCCTTCTAGCAAATTTACGGTTCCACCTTCTTTCTAGCAGATTTACTGTTTCACCTTCTTTCTAGCAGATTTACTGTTCCACCTTCTTTCTAGCAGATTTACTGTTCCACCTTCTTTCTAGCAGATTTACTGTTCCACCTTCTTTCTAGCAGATTTACTGTTCCACCTTCTTTCTAGCAGATTTACTGTTTCACCTTCTTTCTAGCAGATTTACTGTTTCACCTTCTTTCTAGCAGATTTACTGTTTCACCTTCTTTCTAGCAGATTTACTGTTCCACCTTCTTTCTAGCAGATTTACTGTTTCACCTTCTTTCTAGCAGATTTACTGTTCCACCTTCTTTCTAGCAGATTTACTGTTTCACCTTCTTTCTAGCAGATTTACTGTTCCACCTTCTTTCTAGCAGATTTGCTAATCCATCTGCTTTCTAGCAGTTTTACTGTTTCAACCTTTCTTTTAGTAGATTAACTGTTCCGCCTTCCCTCTAGCAGTTTTACGATTTCTCCTTACTTCTAGCAGATTTAGTGTGACTTCTTCCTTCTAGCAGATTTAGTGTGACTTTTCCTTCTAGCAGATTTACTATTACATATTTACTGAAGCAGTCATATTGTTTCATATTTCTCATTCTAACACAACCGTAGTAAACACTTCGTCTCAGCCTGAGAAAACACGTCACAAAAGTAACAAATCCTATACAATCTAAGAGAATCCCCCACACGATCTCCGAGAACCCACCACAACCTCAGGGAACCTAACATAACTTCAGAAAATCTTACATAACATCAAAAGACCTAACACAACCCGTGACATCATAATCTGGTAACACGTCACACAAACCTCTGAGAATATATCACAGCCACAGCAAACCCAACCTAACAGAGCCCTTCACGTCTTCGGGAAGCACAGCACCATAGAACCCAACACAGCCTTAAACAACCACAGAAATTAGATGCATATCCAGCTTAATGCGTTTGTAGATGAATGGTTCAGAGAACCGACATGTTGATAAATTAGACACATGTGCAACTCTTGGGTATCTTTATTGAGGAAACGTTTCGCCACACAGTGGCTTCATCAGTCCATACTTAGGAGAAACTTGAAGAACAGGAGGAGAATGAGGTAATCAGTCCCTCAACCTTGAGTCGATGTGTTCAGTCCATCAATCTTGAGTAGAATACGGCATATGAGCGGAGAAGCAGCTTAATGCGTACAAATTTTTTCAGCCATTTCAAAACTGCAGTGATTTTTTTATCACAGTGGTGGAAAGGTCATATATTTCCACAGTATCACAATTGCCTGTCCTATCTGTGAAAAATATTAACAAGCAGTGACCTCTACACCGGTCACATAATAGACTTTCATTGCCACTGAACAAATACCCTTTTATTGATAGTGGGCAGAAATAATTAATAACACGAAAAAGTAGTGACTAGCACCCGCGTTTCTTGCTTTTTTTTCACACAGTGCTCTGTAATATATTGACCCTTTGTGTGGAGAGCTTTAGGGTGTGGGTCTGGGGATTGGGCTGTGTGTGTACTCTAATATTTGTATTCACCTATTTGTATTTGCAGGGGTCGTTTCATATCTTCTGCCCCCTCCTCTTCGTTGATCATTACTGGATCCACTCTCTCCCTGCTCCAAGTGCTTTATCATACCTCTTCTTAAAGCTATGTATGGATCCTGCCTCCACTACATCACTCTCCAGATTGTTCTACTTCCTGACAGCTCTGTGACTGAAGAAATACTCTCTAACATCCCTGTGACTCGTCTGAGAATTCAAATTCCAGTTGTGACCCCTTGTTGCTCTGTCCCATTTCTGTCAATTCCTCTCAATATTTTATATGTTGTTATCATGTCTCCATATCTACTCTGTCCTCCAGTGTCGTCACGTTGATTTCCTTTAACTTCCCCTCTTCGGAACTAGTTGTTGCAAACATTTGCACTTTCTCTAATTTCTTAACGTGCTTGACTAGGTGTGGGTTCCAAACTGGTGCTGCATACTCCAGTATAGGCCAGACGCACACAGTGTACAGTGTCTTGAATGAATCCTTACTCAAGTGTCAAAACGCTATTCTTGGGTTTGCCAGACGCAAATGTGTGTGTATGTGTGTGTGTGTGTGTGTGTGTGTGTGTGTGTGTGTGTGTGTGTGTGTGTGTGTGTGTGTGTGTGGTGTGTGTGTGTGTGTGTGTGTGTGTGTGTGTGTGTACTCACCTAGTTGTGGTTGTGGGGGTCCATTCACAGCTCCTGGCTCCGCCTCTTCAACTGGCCGCTACCTCTCATGATGTCATCCAGACGGCTAACAATATCCTCCATCCCAGCCCCAGGAAAGCAAACTCTCTGTCTCCTACTCCTGTCCTTCAAGCAGAACGCCCTATCCATATACCTAACTTGGCTATCCCCAACAACAACTATTACAACCTAGGATTTCAAATGGCCTGTTATCCCAGGTGTAATGGGAGCAAATAAACACAGTAGAAAAAGTTTAGACTTATATTATCCTTCACCAATTATAACAGCAATATGTACACTATGTACAGTGATAAATATAGTGCACTCCACGGTAAGCAAGGCAGAAATAGAAGCCACAAGATAGCAGACCGTGCTTCAACCAGCTCTAGAATGGGAATGACAAGGGCAGACAGGAGAGCGGTATCCACATAACCTCTGCGATTGTCAATCCACCTTCTATTGGCTAGAACCTGGTCACTAGTTGAACGATGGGGCCCCATCATCAACTCTTAGCAACCTGGTTCGCTGGTTGGGGGAGATAGCCTGTAAATGAGGGTGTGTCCATGCGCCGAATAAAGGTTACGTACTCTTTGCATGCCACAACAACAATATTCTTACCTTCCTTAATGTCTTTCGTCGTGACGTTCCCAGTAGTCGACTCACATTCGTCGGGTAGCACTGAGAATGTATTAGATGTTTCCACAACAGTTTCCACGGCAGTCTCTTTCTTCTTCATCGTTTCTACCTTTCCATTCATCTTCTTGATCGTCAACTTCGTTCCCTGCTGTCCAGCCACTGACCAGTTTCCCTTCTTGACCTGAGGACTCAAAACAGGAGGACTACTACGAATCTTCTTGTTTTCCTCGGTCAGTCGCCGAATCTTCATCTTCGCCATCCTCAATTCTTCCTTAAGCTGTTGGTAAAGTTGCTCGATGGAGGGCATCTTGCTTCAATTCGTAGAGAGCGCGCAAACAGGTCTTCACAGAGCTAAGTACACGTCACCACTGCGCAAAAGCCAACTCAATCAGGAGCTACTGCGCAGCACGTCCGCACGGCCCAATAGCGATGCGAAGTTGTAAGACAAGTTTCCCTTAAATAAGAAAAAGGCACAATACCGTGACTGGAACAGTCCGATTTGAACTATGTACAAAGTCACACTAACACAAAAGAGTGAGGGAGCCAGTATATATAGGCGAGGAAGACCGTCCCTGTCCCCGTCGCCTATTATATACTGGCTCCCTTACTCTTTTGTATTAGTGTGACTTTGTAAAT